TGATGAGATCCCGTCCCTTCTGAACGAAATGGTTGAAATGAAGTTCTCAAAGCCATTGCTTTTACCAACTGCAGCTCAGAGTCCAAATCAAGCTCCCAGGCTTCAAGACTTTTCTTATGCTAACCAACAGCCCCACAACATCCACATGGTCTTTGGAGACAAATCTCCTGTCTTAGATTCAGTTAACCCTCATCTGAACAGATTTCTATAACCATTAACCAGCAAATATTATCTGCTAAGCAACACCCTCTCCCAGTTAAACACAGAGCAGCATCCATTGCTGTGTGGAAGCTGCAGCTCAGCACATAATGGCTGCTTGTACTGCAGTACCTTGTACAGTGAATTGAGACACCTTGAATGCAGAAAACACTACAGAAACCAAGTTCTGCTCCCAGCCGTGATGTATGTGGTGGGTTCCTTCTGCCAGAGATAACTAACACAAACACCTCTCCTGGCACACTAGCCAGCATTCATAGCTGCAGCAGCCAAGTTAGAGGAAACTGCCTGGAGATTAAGATACGGATTTTAACCCGATGCCTGTCCCTGACTGATGGCACAGATGTGAGCAAAGCAGGGATATAAGCCAAAGAGGGAGCTGAAGAGGGGGAGAGCATCCTTCCCCAAACACGGATCATTCTCCGTCATCCATTAACCTGTCCAGGAGGAGCACGCTGCACCGAGTCCTTTACCCATCCCTTCTCCCAGGCAGCCCCGCTTTCACCACCCAGCCTCAGACATGAGCAGAAAGCTTCCCCTCCACGCAATTACAAACTCAGAGGGCTGGGCCCATCCTGCACAGATGCCACCTGCCTGCAACGCAGGAGGACACGAGAGCCAGAGAAGCACCTGAAAAGGGAGGCGAGGGAGATGGAGCGCGCTGCCTTGCCACGCTCCCGCTCGCCTGCGAGCACCTTCTAGCAGCCAGCGGCTGGCAGGAACAGGTGGTGAAGGAGTAGGCTGACACCTCTTAGTGCTTAATCGTTCCCGTTAGTAGCTTTATGAATGGCAGCCAAAAAGTGCCATAATTGCTGCAGTGACGCTTACTAATGACTCGAGTTAGATCTGGCGAGAAGTCAAAGGCAGGAAAGAGAAAGACAAGAAAAACAGGAGTAGGATCAACATCTGAATACCAGTCTTCGGCCACCTCACAGGAGAGCGGAGCAAGCCTAAGTTGGGGCCTGCAGCTACTAATGGGGACGGGCAGGGACCAAGCACGCTAGGGTGAGCGGGGAGGGATTTTGCAGCACACCTCTTGCCTGTGAAGACTGCACCGTCCACTGCAGACCTCCAGCTTTCGAAAGAGAAGATGACTGGATGGGGAGGGGGAAGAGGGAACAGAAATCCAGTCCTAGTTTTCAGGTCAGGTTTTGAGAGCCTTGCTTTTGGGGTGGGGGATGGGACGGGACTATGGTGAGCCATGTCACAGACACCACTTTCCTGTCCTCAAAACCAACTTTAGCCAAAATAGCACAAAACCTGGGAAAAGCAGGGAAATCCATCTTGTTGCCAGCCTCAGCATGACCTTGGTTTTATGGTATGTGCGCTGGCAGATCGTGCCCAGCGGCCCTGGCTCCCACTGAACCGCCACTGTGGCCAGGGGAGAGTTTTTCCTGAGAAGGAATCCAGCCTCTAGCGAATAACCAGCACACTCCTCCCGATTATGTATCTGTTTCTGAATGTTAACAAACAGTCTGCAGCATCTGATTGAGTGGGTTATTAGCAGAATGAAGACAGATGGTGGAGGATTAACTCTAAAGTGTCTTTATTGCAAGGCCGTCATTACAGACAGCTCTACCTCTCTCCCTCTGTCTACAACCGTCACCAGCTTAATTTCACCCTACAACTCACAGCCGCACACCACATAGCGATCCCAGCACACAGACAGGGCAATCGTCAATCACGGCAAAGGGATGATCAGGTAGCAGCCACACTGGAGCAGCACCTTCCCGTTCCCCAGCTCCGCTTCCCACGTGCGCCTCTAAATTGCACCCACATCCAACCTGCCTTCCTGCTGCGCGCTTCACAGCAGCAACACGGCAGGAGGCAGACCGGGAGCCGATGGCACCCGATGCGTTACGGCAGTGCCAGCCGCGGGGAGAGTGCCCGACTTGGTTTTGTCTTGCACATCACCAGCAGTGCTGACAGCAGCCAAGACTGTACCGCTGTCTTACAGCTGGGAGACACCAGCACCTCATCCAGACCTGTTTTTTCACGACATAGGTTAAGAGTTGATATTTATTAAATAACACTAACAAAGAGAAGTGCTCAAACCCTTATGTTCGCTTCTTACCCTAGAGAGCAGCTCAGCCACAAGAGTCTGCATCTGCAATCAGTTGCGTCAATGGACGTGCTTCACTTGCCAGTTGGTAAACAGACAACATACTGCTACCAGAGGCCCTTGCTGGGCATAGCCACAGAGCATCTTTGCCACTTGTAAGCCACACAGCTGAGGAGCACATTTATTTATTTAACCCCGCCACTGGGAGAGGTTGCCACTCTTGCCTGCAAGTACCAAGCTTGGACCTTCTCCACAAGGATAGCCAAGACAAGTGCTTCCCCACCAACTGGGCCTTCAGGGCTTTCATATTTTTCCAGTTCCCAGGAACACAACTGAAGATGAAGGAACACATCTGAAGACCATTCATGTTATGCGATCTCCTGCTGCAGCTAAAGCAGCGCAATGTGGTGCAATTCTTCCACACTGACAAGGTGTCTAAGTCCCCCGGGCTTCTCCACCTACAAGTGCGTTCTCCAGAAGTCTCCATTAAGCAACAGTAAGGTTCTAATGACCCCTGGAATCACCCGTTCCCACTGTGATGGAGACCCCACACCTCATAACTATCCGATCACCCTGTTGCCTGCCTCTACATTCAGTCCCTTCTGCTACCCTGTAATTATTACTAGGGCTATTCATTAACATCATAACGTAATAAAGGAGGAAAAGCTCTCACTTGGGAAAATATAAAAGGGAACCTGTCTCCCTCCTTATCCCCACAAGGTACCTGGCCCAAAGAGCCTGGCTCATGTACTTTGGGCAGGAAAACAGCTTAGCTGTACCACTGTAGACGACCAGACATCTGAAACCTGCCTCAGCTCACATCAAAGCTCAGCCCACGCTGCATAGCTTGGATCAGTGCTGAAATTCAAAGCCGGGGAGGCTCGAGGCCCACGACTGTCACCCAGAACCGCCTCTACTGAAAACACAAGAAAGTCCTAGGCGGTCTTTGTCGCCATAGAGATCCCTTGACTTTGTTTTTGGCAGATTGTACCTTTAAATGTAGGGGTCCCACGGTCTGTAGGGGCCAGAAACTCATCTGCCGCACAGAGCAAGGCAGGTACACTTTGTTCCCTTTCCCACACAAAGGCTTTACTTTTGGCCTTTCATGTTTCTTTGTTCTCTTTACACAAAGCCACGTTCAGGCTGAAAAGGGGGCTTGCTTCGTAGGCGGAAGCAGAACTCAAATCCATTGGGGACAGGAGCGTCTCTGAATGATCCCAAAGGCTCAGGTGGGATGCCTGGCATGTCCACGTGCCTGCTGGCTCTCCGGCGCCATGACAGCGTGCCTAGAGCGCTCCTACTTGCCTGAGCACGGCCACAACCTCTCATTGAGAGGCCTAGGGGACGGGAAAATATTAAGAGAGATTTCACCTTCTTGCAACACTTAGACCAGGCTTTGCCATCCATTCTCCCAAGGGGCAGCCCCTTGCTATTAAAGAAACATATTCTAATCAGTGTTTAAAAAGCATGCGATAATTAACAAACATGAGGTGAAATCTTCTGAAGTACTTTCTCCATATTATCAGCTCTGTATTGAGGCTGCTGGGAAAAGTATGGAACTTCTGATCTTCTAATGGATATTCAAGCCATAACCTGTCTCCACTAGTTTTACCCCATGAAAGCTAATGCACCTTTTACTTTCATGAAGACAAGGCTTCCAGTAAGAGTAAGGACCCCGAGACTAATCACTGGGAATACGCTATCCCATACAAGGGGGCACAACCCTCCCCTTTTTTTCAAACCATTCCCAATCAAAACCTCAAACAAGGACCAAATGCAACTCAGGCCTGTTTGGATCAAGTCCCCAGAGTAACCTCGTTATAGCCAAACTCTCGCTGCCACATCCCCAACACAAAGTCCTTCTCTGATTCAGCATTAATCACAGATGGTGCTGCACCAGTGGTTTGCTTCAGAAAAAGACGCCAAGCAATGAAGCTACCAGAAGCGGAGACACTCACTCTTCCAAGCGTCGTTTTTTTTCGGTTTAGTATTATGGTTCATAATTATTTATGATATTTCTATGGATTAATCAATGCTTGTAAAGCACTGTAGGGTGACTAGAATACGTAACAGGGAAATTTTAGAGATCTCTCAGCCTCCGTGTAAGAGTTTGATGAGCAACAGAATGAAGCCTCTGCTTCCCTGATTCCAGATAAGGAACAAACATTTTTCCAAACAAATGCTGATGCCTTTTGATCACCTCAAGGCTAGGCCTGACTCTCCAACTGACTTTTGTAACTCTGTCACTAATAAGGTGGACATTTGTCCAGCTAGGAAGCCCATGTAAGCTCCAGGACGTTGCAGCTTCCTGGACACTGGTGATACAAAGATAACTAGTCATGCAGATGCACCAGTACAAACAGCTGAAAAGTCGTACGCTAAAGGTGTCACGGTGAGGCGTTACCACACAGCCAGACTGAAAGGACTAGATGCAGCAACTGCTGCAAGAACTTCCCATGTGACAAATCCTTCCCGTGGGCTGGGGAAAAAACAGTGGATGCTGGATGTATGGAACTTGTAAGCCTCTGCTCTTGTGCAGTCTCGCCTAGGGGGCTTCCAACATCGTTACCTATTAGGAAGTTTCAGAGATCAAAGGGGAGCAGGATTTTCTCCTCAGTGCAAACAAGAACCCAGCACGTTGCTAGCAATAGCCAACATTCACATCCCTTGCAGTGAGATTACTAAAGAGGAAGGAAGAACAGAAGGTGGGGAAGCCACTCACCTTCAGTCATCCTGCGGTACTTCTCCTTGTACATGAACCCCAGTACTAGGCAGCATCCTCTTCCTGGGAGCCCCAGTTCTGCAAGAGGAGAAGGAGCGACGTTAGCAGGTAAGACTGCCCCGGGGACAAGGGCAAGCACGTGGGGATGCCACAGGGAGCAAAGTCTGCAGATGATGCTAGGCAAAGCACCAGAGAGGCAGGCATGTCATCGGTCTCTGGCCAGCTTGAAAGCTGAACTTGGCCAGGGGATCTCAGCAACGCAGAGGGACAGATGCGGGACGGTGGTTGCAACCCAACTGCTTCCAGTTGCGGACTCTGTGCTGCTGTGCTTTGCCACACACATCCAGAGAGGGGAGGGTGACTGCCCCCTCCCTTGCCTATTTCTTAAGTGCTCCTTTATATTATGCACAAGGAACAAGCTGTAACTTCCTCCACATTGGTGCTTTGCAGCAATACGGACTCTAATCCCTTCGGCCTTTAACAAGCAGCATGGTAAAATGGGACACGGACCTCTAAAGGGAAGACAAGTCTGACTTGAGGCAACTTGCCCTTTAGAAACAAACAAGTGACCCCAAGAGTGGCGGCGTGCCAGTCTGAGGAGGCACATGCCTTTGATCCCTTGATTTCTTAACAGGGGTTTCTGACTATCAGTAACAAGCAGAGAAAGATCCGAGCGAGGATTTTCCAGAAGGAGGCTACATGCATGCATTCCCCCTGTGCGCGTCTCAGAGCGGCGAAAAGCTCTGCTTCTTCAAACAAATTCGCCTGTGTCGCAGTGGAGAAAATTAAGGTACCACGTCCCTGACGGTGCCTGCCTATGGACCTGCAGAGTTCCTCGGGGGCCCCTGCGCTCTGCAGAGCCCCGCTGATCAAAGCCCCTTTGATGTTTACTTAATGCAGCTGTGGTCTCTTTAGAGCCCCCTCTGCCGAGGGGGGAGCGCTCAGGACTGTCACGAAGTTGCGCCGAACGGAAGGGGGGAAGGCAGTGAAGCAGGGGGGCTCAGAGCACAGCAACAGCTTTGGAGCGGAGCGAGCGCTGCGCGGCAGCCTTTGCTCGTGCCAGGCAGAGCCTAGCCACACAGGTTTGGCTTTTAACTCCAGGGTGTAACCTGGGGTTTGGCTTGCACATCTGGACTGTTTCCAGAAAAGAAAGTTGCTCACCACAGTGTGATGTGCAGGAACACCACCTGGATTTACAGAGCACTGTATATACAATACCCTTTCCTGGTACTACTAGCCGACATGGCATCCTGGCAGAGGGTTCCTTTTAGCATCCTCCTCTCCACAAGACTAGTTAAAGTGGTTTCCTTCACGCGGCTTCCTCTTGCAAGAGTCTAAGGACCCTCAGCTCATGATCCTAAGGCTTCCAACTAGGGAGGACTTCAGCATCCCCTTGAAGTAAAACACGCGAGCAATCTCACTGAAGTCAATGCTCAGTATGTCTCTTGAGATCCCTAAGGCGAGTTGAGATTTAATTACACCCCTAAACCAACATCGACCCCTACAGCGGTCACCCAAATGGAAAGAAACAGGCATCACTAGAAAGTGACTCACCTCACCCATCTCGGTCAAGTTTGGAGGATACAAGTGGTCTCTAGCAGTGCTTGTTATTCTCTCATTGACTATAAAAGGCAGTTACTAACTCGCACATAGTCGCCTCAAGAAAATAATTTGGGGCAGGCAAATCAACCATCCTCTTCCCCAGCAGCTTCTTGAATCAGAGTCCAGATCAAGAGAAAAAAGTAAACAGTAACCTTCTCCAATCCTAAAGCAGAAAGCAGCCCTCTTGCTGTTCAGGACTAAGGCAACAGGATCCACGCTGCCGTGGCACAGCCTGCTTGGCAACTGCAAATACACTAACAAATATATCCACTTGCAGAGCATTAGATGCCTCTATTGGATATTCCTGATTACTGTTAGGACCTGCTGGTTTTAGTTGAAGGACATTCAGCACAGGGTGTCTCAGTTAGCGCTGTCCGATAACCTGAATCGATGGGACCTCACTGGACTTCACGTGGAGTCTCCATAAAGGGTTGTGCAAGGCCTGTGAGAACGGACATCCCACACGTATCAATCTGCACGCAGCACAACGGCTGCGAGCCTGCCGATAGCATCCCAAGCCTCTGCGAGTGTTTACACAGAACCTGTGAAGCGGGCAAGAGGCATTTATGTCTTTATTGACAGGAAAGCAAAATAGCATTGATTCCTATTGAGCCTCCAACAAGCACCGAGGTATCAAAGTGTAATTAAAACAACACAATTAGATTAGCACCACACAAGACGGCACAGTCCACAGCGGCGTCGAGCAAGCCAGCATTCCTATCTTACTCACTCAGACACGCGTCGTACATCCTGGCGTGCGCGCGCTGTCCTGCTTGCTGATGCCGGCCCCACAGACTGCAGCCACAAACACCCACAAAAGCATCTCGAGCCAAAGCGGGTGGGAGGGAGCTGCGCTACAAGCGGCAACAGCTCCAGCCTACGCGAGGGGTGAATACCACACTGTGGCACCCACACCTCAAACAGCCAGCTCTTATCTTCCAGACTGCAGGGAGCGAAATGCACCTGAGAGGGAGGCCTTTCGGGGAAGGAACAGTCACAGAGGAGGCACATGGGCTAGATCCAGACTAAATTACCCATCTGTAGCCTTGACCAGTGCACACTGGCATGGGTGTTTGTCTTCTCTCTGCCTCCCTGAGGGAGGCTGTAATTAATGCTTAAAAAGCACTTTGATATTCCATGATGAAAGGAGCTATACAAGAGCACTGCATATAATAATTCATACCATAAATTTGTGAGAACATGCAAAAATCTTTATAGCTAAAGGCACCTTTAAATACTTGAGAGTGCCTTTAAAAGGCAAGAACATTTCAAGATGACTCTGATGCCTAAGGATGGCTCACCACTTCATGGCTTTTAGTAGCTACCTAAAGCTAAAACAGTTAAGCAGACACCCAGCATTTTAAGTGTTTTGGCTTTGAGCCACATGGAGACACCACCGAAAGGGAACTTGAACCCATGCATGTCCCCCACTCCCTGAAACGAGCACATCCACTTCCTCGCACTGGCAACTGATTTTTTTTGAGTGTACTAAAAACAAGCCACATTTGAAGTTCATCATCCCAGTCACTTTTGAGATGCATGAGCTTAAGTATTTTGTTTAGAAAACACACGTGGGAGCACATTTAAACTTGCATTGATTCATCTCAGAACTTAGAAAAAAACCACTCAAAGCATAAGCATCTTCAAACCAAACATTGCCAGCGTTAGGGGCAGCGAGCGACAAAGAAGCAAAAGCCAACAAAAAGATTCATCTGCTCTAAGCTCTGTTTCACGTACAGCAACCTCCAGAAAGGCATCTTAGGTATGACCTAGGCAACAGGAGAAGATAAGTTCGCTTTGGAAGATAACGCTTTGCTGACCCAAATTATGGCACCCTCCTGCTTTTTCTCATTCCATCCCCTCTTTCTTCCTGTCATTTGGAATTTCATTACCCACTTTCAAGGCAATTACCCTACCCACAAAGTCACAGAGGGAACTAGGTTTCTGATCAACCAGTGCAGTAAAGGCTAACGCTGCAAAGGAGTAGTAAAGGTTTATTAACACAATCGTAATGTGTACCATTGTGTAGCTGTATTCCACCAGGAATGATAATAAATGTTTAATAGCCCCAATAATACCTGTTTAATAATTTTTCTGCTCATCTTGTCTAATTGCAAGTTTATTAAAGAACGATAAACTTTATAATCGCTGTAAAGGCATAATTGCAATTCCATTGCTTATTCAATATTGAGTTAATTATATTACAACTAAGTTATTTTTTCCCATACATATTAAATATCAATTAGCTGTTTTAAACTATTGATTTGTATTTAATTAACTATGCTATTATATACCAATTAAGCTCTTATAAGAGAAGCAGAAACAGCTGGTCTCTTAAATTAAATTTTAAAAACATTGTATTGAAATAAATATCACGTTTCCATTTTCTCGTGTTTTCATTCTGCAGAGATGGCAGTTTGCTATCTGTAAATATTTTTCCAATCACATGTTATGTGCATGAGCTTCATTTGTAGTTCTGAACTTGTTTCCAGGGTGGGGACCTGACAATCTCCATGACAGTAACTCCAGCTTCAGACTGCGACACTGTGATATGGTGGCTGGAAGAGACAGACGCCTGTAAAAAGCCCCCGTACCATCTCACTTTGGGATGGAAACAGCAAATGACTTGGATGGGAGCTCTTGAAAGAGCACAAAGGTCTTTGAGGAAAGAAACCCAATACCGTCCTGTTTGTTTCCAACTTAGCCACCCAGGGAGATGTTAGGAAGGTCCCAAGTCACCACAGCTAACAGCTTCGGATCACTTTCGAAAACCCTTGTTTAGGAACCTTATGGTCCTGCTTAGAAACAATTTTCTATTCCAAGGTGCAAAGGTGTCTGCTGTTGGATATCTTGCTAAGGAGCTTCACTATGCACAGAAAAGCCTACTGTCCCAGGTCTTTCCATGTTCTCTGCTTCACCCATACCTACTGACTTTGCATCCCAAAAGTTAGGGGAGATGTATGACAAAGCATTTCCTTCAATGTTCTTTGTTGTGCTGCCTTCCAGGCTCAGTAATCACCCTGCTTTTCTTGTGTGGATTTCGTAAGCCTTCCTGTGACCTTTTCTTTCGGGGAATTTGCTCTGGGCGTCAGTCAAGGAAGTTGCATCCTTCCCCTCTACGTTCTCCTTCCGCTGCGAGTGCTAGGTTCAAGATTCTTCCCTCGCTGCCCTTCACGTTCATAAGCGTTGCTGAGCAACTCCAAACAGCTGCCACGTTTCGGCACGGAGCAAACAAGTTCTTTGGCATGCAATTTGTGTATTGCAGTTAAGTTTGCAAAGCATTCCAAGATCCTCAGAGAAGGAAAAAAGCTATACATATGCAAGCTATTATTAAATCTGTGCCCAGTTAATTTATAAAAATGTATTAAAAAAAAACTAAGAGGCTTCCCAAATGAGAAAATGAGCACATTACAGTTCAAAATACGAATGAAGTAGACAGTGTTAAAAGCTGTAGTGATACCATATTTTATTCTATA